AATATTGCGAATTGACATTTATTATAATTTATTATTTATTTATTATTTATTGGTAATTTAATTTGCTATAAAAAATGTCCGAGATCAAAATCGCTCTCATTAATACTTCTCGAGATATTAGTGTATTAATGCTAGCGATTTTGACCTTCAACTTTTTAATAGCAAATAAAATTTCTTACAAATTTGTCATGTATCTTTTCTGATCTGTAGGAATTTAAAGATAAAAACTCACGATTGTAGTGTATTTTCAATGGAAAATTTTTACAGGCCTTGGTCCAGTTCTTAATGTTAATATTAAGGGCTAAAATTTTCAGGGAATTTTTTTTAGAGTATTTCCAAGGAAATTTCGTGACGGGACTGAAAAAAAAATAATAGTAAAAAAAACACCCAAATGTATACGCATGTGCGCATTCAGAAATTCAAATCATGTTTTCATCACTTATCGATATATTACATGTGCGCCAGAGAACTGCAACGAGTGCGATAAAATCAGAACAAACAGTCGTGCCAAAAACACAATGAAATCAATTCAGTTCAGCATAGACAATATGTTAATCAATTCGGGTAGCCGCCAGAGTCAACTGATCTGATGCAACACGAACAATCTGTTCTTCGGCAATCACGCTCGTGTAAACGGTATGGCTGGCCTCGGTTACAATCGCATCATGTCAGTTCATAGTTCGTTATTACACGCGGCAACTTTTGTTGCGGCAACTCTTGGTTTGTAGGCGAGGGGGCGACGAGGAGAGGAGAATCGCGTCGAGTTTCCAGTGTTCAGCAACTCGCTTTGTGTTCTTATTCATAACAGTTCGCTGCGACGTTTTTCGGCATTCGTGTTCTTTCTTTCGTAGTGCATAGTTGCATTTGCGTATTTATTTTGAAATTAATATTTTGAATATATTTAAAAAAATTAATTTCAATTTTGGTACGTAATTTGCAAATATGTATACAAATATACATAATATAATATAAATATTTTAGAAAATGGAGTAAGACGAAAAAATCGAATTAATTAAACATATTGATTCAGATGATAGTAAAAAGGGTGATATATCCCTGTCTGTTATATAATCTTTGTTTTAATTTTGAATTATAAATAAAATGTATTTCTTAATTGACAGAACTGATTAATATATGTGATAGAGTGGCCCAAATACATATAAGGAAAAAGAAACGACTATGGGTTAAAGTAAAGTGAAAGAGAATGAGAAAAAAACTCGAACAGAGTGAAGGTAATGGGCGACAGCAAAAGAGAATCACCCGAGAATCAGCAACAAAAGTTGCTTCGTGTAATAGCCGACATAGCGTTGCGACGATTGTTTGAATAGAAAAGAAACTTTGGGTAAACTATAAGTAAATCTATGAGTACAGCAAACAACAACAATTTTCTGCTGTAGTGCGTTTCTGTAAGGAATCGACAATATATTCGATTATAGTGACGTCATTTCGATTCGATCCAAATTAGTCGATTGATCGAGAATGAGTGTTTCTGTAAGCATAAGTCGACAAAATATGAAACAGTGAGAGAAATGGAACGCCAATCGATAAGAAATCTCTCGAATTGGACTGATAACTTCATGTTTGAGAAACTATTATTGAGAAAAGTAAGCATTATAGATATTATGCACAAATATTTAATTCTTATTAATAAATAAAAATTGATGTATTTCAGCTATGAGTTTATTGGTAATAACGCTCGCCATACGGCATGACAGAAGGAATTTGTTGCGAATACAAAGGCGCACTTTAAGGGACCCGGCAGATCCAGTTAGCATTCCCGAGCCGCGTTTACTTGAGTTATTCCGCTTCAGCAGAATTGCAGTACGAGCACTCCTTGTGGAAATCGAGCCTTTTATGGACACAGCAGTAAGAAGTATATTAATTCCAAACTCCACTTGGTTGTGTGTAGCGCTGCATTACTATGCTACAGGATCATTTCTTAGGGACGTAGGTCAGGATTTTGTTTGCCCTATAAGTAGGACCATGGTAAGCCGCATAGTGCATCAAATTACAGAGATTTTCCAAAATCATATGGCGCAACGTTACATCATTTTTCCAACTACCTTACAGCAGCAGAATATTGTGAAGCAACGGCAAGTGAAGTGTTATAATCTTGAAGATTAATGGTTATTTATAGCTGGCTTATGTTTATGTTCACTTCAAGGTTCTTCACTGCTACTGGATTTCCTGGCATCTTGGGAGCGATTGACTGCACTCACGTCAAAATTAAGAAGCCACCACTTGCAGTAGAACACTGCTATATTAATCGAAAAGGATATTTTTCCAAAAATGTGCAATTAGTGTGCGACTTTGATTTAAATATCCTGGCGTGCTTTGCAAGATATGTGGGAAGTACGCACGACGCCTACATATGGGAAAGCAGTACACTAAAGTCCCATATGCTGAATGAGTACACTGCCAATGGGTCCACAGGATGGTTGCTTGGAGACTCTGGATATCCGTTGCAGCCGAGGCTAATGACTCCATTCAGAAATGTAGAGAGTATTAGTCAGCAAAGCTACAACGATTCTCACGCACGAGCTCGAAATTGTGTGGAGCGCCTTAATGGAGTTTTAAAAAATTATTTGGATGCCTTTCCCAAGACCGTGGCTTAATGGTGAACCCCTCATTTGCAGGATCAATAATTAATGCATGCTGTACGCTACATAATATTCGAAAGAGATATAATTTTCCACTTCCTGAAGTTGATCCACTTCAAAATTCTCCGCATGGAGACAATGGTTCATTACTTAACATTTTAAATGAAACAAGAGCTATACGAAATACTATTTTAAGAAACCACTTTTGTAGTTAATTCACATACAGTGGTGTTCAGAAAAATATGAGGAACACTCCAAATGATACTGTTTGCAAATTTTGTTTAGCTCTTTATTTTTTATAATATATATTATAATAACAGTCGATTCTAGTGAACACTACTGTCCTTCCGGGAATAGATTTCAATGCAACCACAATTGGGGGGACTATGAAACCCCGTTTGAAGCAGCTACTGTTATTGGTGTACATACGCAAAGCCTTGGCCCCATCCAATGAATATAACATTTAGAAAAGACATTTCCCGTGAAAATTGGTGCATGTTTTCGGGAAAACCGCTCTCCTGAACATTTACCGTATATTTAAATATACAAAGTGAACAATGCGAAAAAATTTAGTGAAACATTGTGAAATACCAACTGTTATTAATAAAAATTTTTGTAATTTTAATCGAGAATATTTTACAAAATAAAATTGTTAGCAACATTTTTCATCTGGAGAAGGGTACAATTCCGATTTCTTTGGCGCCGCGATTTGAAGGTACCGTTGAAAAGAGGAAGTCCTTCTGCTTAAAAAATATATGGGGTTATAGGTACCGCAAACGCTTAGTTACGAGATATTCGACCCTAGAGTACAAAAATTTGCAAAATTCGAACATTTCAATAAGTTATTGCACCAAATTTAACACACTTTATTCACATTTCTCACTTTAAATTAATTAAATTCCACTATAAACTTTTAAAAAAAATCCACAGTTTACACTTTTAGTGTTTTTTTCCCTAAAAAGAAAATATGAATATGTTTACTCCTTATGCAACAGTCGCTAGAAGAATAGGAATATTTATGAGATTTAAAGAACGTACAAATTTTATCGCAAATTGTTACCTCCCGTCATGGTTTCCAGCAGAGCTCTCAGTGTATCGTGAATTCTATTTAAAACACCCATATGCTCCTTGTGTTGTCTCCCCAAAATCTCTTCCAGCTGCGCATGGCGATTTTCAATGAGACTGCTCGCCTCTTCCACACAGCTTTGGTTTGTGCGCTGTTTGGGTTGCTGTTTGTTTGGCACAACCTCAAGCACCTGACCCATTGCAACCTCTTCAAGTGCCTCCACATCGAAGATGTCCAAGCTGTGCGCGTTTGCCTAGAATTCCGAACGGATCACTAAATAGCTTAGTTTTTAGTTTTGTAATATATTACAACCAAACCGTCCAACCCAATGTTGGCAGTAGCATCACCCTCATCCTCAATGGTAACATCGACCATTTCAGCAGTTATCTGCAATAAACACCAATTTTATTATCACAACTTTAAATTTTGACAGACGTTACTCACCGACAAACCAATTTCGGGAGTGAGCCCATGAAAGTCCACCATGTCGCTGGAAAAAAAACTCCAGAATTTCTAGGTCTATGGCATCCAATGGTTTTGGACCGTCCTGCAACGGCAGGTTTCCAGTTCGTCTGGCGAACGCTCTGTGGGCATTGCGCAGCTTCTTGACTGTCGATTTCCAGTCTATCCACAACTAAAAAAAACCAACACACATATGTAAATTGTAATGCTATACACAAGAATATTTTAGTTTTACCTTTTTCCACTGATTAGGGGACTTGTGGGACCCTCCCAATGCATTTAATTCAGCAGCAACGGCAGCCCAAACCTCTTCGTGCTCCTTCCCCGCGTTTGGTTTCATAAATTGGCCCCTTCCAACGCTGCGGTGCTGCTGAATTAAGTGCAGTAACCGCCTCTTTTGGCCATTCGTAAACTTCCCGACGTAGTTCTCCGTAAAGAAAATGCATCAAGTCTTTTTTAACTAATCATATATAATATATTAAAAATATATATACTTACATTTGCTTTAAATTCATCTAATTCCATTTTGAATTTAACGAAACATTTTTTTGTCATCACCTCAAATGGAAGTGAGAAAACCAATCGACAGTATTTCAATCAATTTGGTTACAGAAACACATCCAATGGAATGGAACATATCAGCTGACTATCGATTGAATCGAGTAATTATTTTACAGACACATTGAGTGAGAGTGACGTCAAATCGAGAATTTGAGTCGAGAACATCGATCGAAATGGGTTACAGAAAAGCACTACTAGACTGATTTGAATCATGTGTGGCAAAAAGTGTATCAGCTTTGAAAATGTGCACATTTTACAAATTTTCGATGCGTAAACAATGGAAATTCTATCGAATACGTACATACATGTACATACAAAGATGTGTATTTGAAATAGAAAAGAAATGCCCGACTAAATCAGTGTTTAAGGGATGATATGCGAACCAAACGCTGTCGATCATATCAATCATTGAAGCATAAGTTTGCATCACTTCGGRTATTTTCTGCTGATACGAACGTGCATAAGCAAATCTGGTATAAGCTGATCGCTAGTGATTTAAATTTGTTCTCTATCGCTGATTTGAAGACAAACGATACGCTTCGTGTACATGAACCGAAGTGACAGAATCAGACAGAGTAACGTATCAGTATTTAAGTATACACAAAAATTTATTACTCGTTGCAGTTCTCTAATGTGCGCGCATTGATCTGCATGTTCATACATTCATATATACTTATATGTATGTACACATTGCCCAACAAATAATGCACAAGCATACAAACATACATATGCGAATTAACTTCCCTGCGTGGGAAGTATAAAAAAAAATGTTTTTCCGTTACGCGCGGTAGAAATAAAACCACGTGTTGTTTTGAGTCGGTACTCCGGGCTTACTGGTTCTGAATATCTTCTGAGTGCCTTCTGAGTACCATCTGATTTTTATTATTGAATTCACTTATATTTATATTCTTACAATTCTATATGTAATGGTTTATTACTAAAGATGCTTTGGCATTACACTAAGTGATGAATGCCAGAGCATTAAATTTCCAATTATTCTCATTATTGAAACAAATAATGGAATATTGAATTTTGCTTACTTACACTAGCCGACAATTTTGACATTTTTTTTCTGCTCTGAAACCAAACTTTTTTTTTTATGTTGCTTTGATAAGGTACATATATAATTTGAATATAAAAAAAAAATGCTATTTCCAGGTTAAGAGAAAAATAAAAGTAAAGTTTTTGCAAAAAATATATTGAATCTTACAAATTTTAATCCCTCAATTTATATTTTCTTGTACTTTTTTGAACTTCTGCTGTATTGGTAGTCAGGATTATCACGTAAACATATCCAGCAATAGTTTGCCAACATGCTAGGAGTCCATTTGCCGTGATACCTTTTCTCCATACTCAATATGTGTTGGTGAAATCTCTCCATGTTCATCACTGACTGCACCTAAATTGGGAGGAAAGAAATCCAAGTGCGAATGTAGGAAATGTATTTTCAGGGACATGTTACACCCTAAAGCCTGAAAATCCGTCAATAGGCTTAATATGAGTTCTTCATAATCGGGTGATATGAATTTTTTACAACCTCAATAAATGAAAGCCATGCTTTTTTTCGAGCGTACCTTCTCCCGTTTTATCCATTGCTTTTACAAAATTTTTCATTAAGCCTAATTTTATATGAAGGGATGGCAATACAATATTTTCGGGTTCAACAAGACGAAGATTGGACATACTTTTCTGATTAGGTACATAGTCTGTTCTTTTTGGCCACTCTTTTTGGATATAGTGTTTGCTTCGAGCTCTGCTATCCAATTCGCACATAAAACAGAAAAATTTTGTGTAACCAGCTTGCATACCTAGTAACATCCCAACTACTTTTAAATCAGAACAAATTTTCCAAGAATGTTTAGCATACTGTATTTTTTGTAGTAGATTTTTGATATTTTCATAGGTTTCTTTGATATGTACTCCATGCGCTAGAGGTACAGATGGAAGTTCGTTACCATTGTGTAACAAAACCGCCTTCAAACTTATTTGCGATGAATCAATAAATAGTCTCCACTGATCAGGTGAATAGGTACAAATTTTTTTTCATTAGCCCATATACAATGCAATAGACTAGATCGTTTTCCTTTTCAAAGAAATCCACAACACTACTATGTCGTTCCCGATAAGTACAGCTTCTTGTCTCTGGATGCAATAAATTCCATTGTTTTAGTCTAGAAGCTAAAAGTTCTGATTTCTGTTTTGGTAAATCAAGGTCACGAATCAGATTATTAAGTTCGCTTTGAGTTATCAGATGTGGCTCTGTTGTTGACTTTGTTGGTGGTGGTTCGTAGTCATCGTCGTCAAAATCGGTGTGGTCGGAAGCATAAACATCAACACTACTTTCTAAGCCACAACTACCACGAGCAGTTGACGGTTCGTTAGAAGTTGAGGTAGCTGGTTTTGACATAGACGACACATCTGGGTACTTTATAATATTTTTAGACGTCGACTTCATTCCAGTAATGTTCGTTAGACAAAAATAACAATCATTTACATGATTTTGTTGTTCTCGCCATATAGCTGGCATAGTAAACGGCAATGGTGTGTGAGTACCTTGGAGCCACCCTGCGAGGTACCGTGAACATCTGGAACACAAAAAATTCGGACTCCAAGGTTTACTTAGACTTTCTTCAGCGCCGAATCCAAAGTACGAACGATACGCTACCAACAGTCGCGGCGAAAACTTCTTCGAAATTGAGCGTGGATTAAAGCCTCCACACACACAAAAAAATAAATCTGGCGAATTCTTACACTTTCTGGACATTATATTAAACGATTTAATGCAAAAACAATGGGAAACAACTGAGATGCGCACGAGATAACGACGTAAATGCAAAATGTCAAAATATAGCAGAAATAAATAACGCTTAGACGCAATATACGACGTCTCAATGTAAAAAAAAAAACAATTTTTAAATTGTTGAACAGCTATTTTTTTTTAGTTATTTAACATTGTTGAAACATTGTTCTACAAAAACACCAATTGTCTAAATAGCAGAAGCATCACAAGTCAATATGGCAGCCAAATTTGCGAAGCCCAAATGTCGTAAATTTGAAAACAAAAACATTTTCATTCACATTCCACAAGCGACCTCGCTTCATTCATAAAAACAGACGCCGTAGCATCTCCCCGACGATGGCAAAACATCTTTCTGGTGTTTGTTCTAAGAAAGAAATGAGGAAAGCGACAACATTAGAGGTGGAGAAACATCGATGCGAACATCGATGACATCGATGTTTTCGAAACATCGATGCTTAGCGGGGCAAAATCGATGTTTTTCCTTCTCTAAGGCACATAGAGGAAGACAGTCGAATTGTAAGTACATATATCATTTAATCTCATTATAAATTATTAACAGAATATTGTTATTTTAGCTATACTTGTTGGTGGTGTTGACGTGAGTGTGGTAGTACTTGAACATGGACAGGTTTATGAAAAGTAAGTACTAAATATCCGAACTTATCTTCAGAAAAGCATTGTAAATGAATTATTTCAGAAAAGCACATGCACATTCGCATGCATTTCTGCTTTTGCATTGAATAGGCATTAATACAGTTTATTTCTTATAGGAACAGCAAGCGAACAGCCAAAGCCTGATGAGAATCAAAAGAAGAGGAGGCGTGATGTTTCTATAGTTTGGGATAATTGGGAAAAAACGCATGGGATATGGAATTACTGTGGTAAGCCAATAAAGACGTGTGGAAACACAATAAATCTAATGGACCACTTAAAGCACGTTTATGCTGATCGGCTTAAAGTTGGGGGAACTGCACAGAAACCAAACATTGTTGTAAAGTCATGAACATGATTGCTGTTGATGTTCAACCTTTTCCTTGTGTGGAGGAAGACGGATTTAAAGAGCTCATGAAAGAAATGGATCCCCGCTACAGGTTACCTAGTAGGTCACACCTGCGCGACGTAGTGCTTCCATCTCAATATGAGTTTCGTAAGAATAGACTCCAGTCTGCACTTAAAGATATTGATTTTGTGGTCATAACTACTGACTTGTGGACATCCAAAGCAAACCAAGGATACATTACAGTTACGTGCCATTTTGTTTTAAATAGTTTTACGTTTGTTGGACAAACGAATTTATTACATTAGCTTTGGTATCTTCTCGTGGTGCTCCATTGCCGTTTTCAGCAGCAAAAGTGGATATTTTATATGATATATCCGAGTTGCTATCCCCCTTCGAAGAGGCGACGCTTTCTGTGTCTACAAACACAAA